GTGGTGAGAATGGGCATACTTGTCGGGTGCCTGTTCTTGAAGGAAGGTCGTGCAGTTTTTCCCAATTCAGGTTGAAATTGGCGGTGGGTTTTTTTGAAGTTCTTACAACAAGAAAATGGAGGGGACACATCTGGGTGGGAGGGGGGAGAGGGAGGAGGGAGGGAGGTTTCGGTGAAGGGATACAATAATCAACTACATTGTATATTGACAAAATAAAAAAAAATTAAAAACAAAACAAACAAAAAAAACAAATGCCTTCCTTCTTTTCCAAAGTCATTCCTTTTCTCACCATCCCATACCCTGCCCCAAAGTCTCTCCCGTCATGTATTACATCAGTCTTGTGACTGGCTAATGTTTCTTCTAATCAGTCCTCCAGTCCAGAGTAATACAAACATCACCTGCATTGAGAAATCAGGTAGGGGGCCCACAGATGGTCTTGCAAGTTCCCTTCCCATCTGGGAACCATGTATCTTTAAGAATTTCCATCTCTACAGGTTAGGGAAGAGCAGGGAACATGAGGATCCTGCACCCAATGCAGATCACTGACAAACTGTTGATCTCTTCAGCTGAGCTTTTTAGAGACAGGGTTCCCATCAAAGCCCCAGGTAGAAGTCAAGGTGCCAGGAGATATAAGACACCTTCTGGCAAACAGACAGTTTATTGGTGACCGTTTACTGCTGTCATTGATGCTCAGGTCAGGTCCAACAGCCCTTTCTTCCTCTCCTTCTGCCCACCAGTCCTCATCCCCAAACACCAATAAGCGGTAACCTCAAATTACAGGTGAGAACAAGCAGAAGGCAGAACAGGAGTAGGAAGGGAAACAAATAGATGCTATAGCTTGATGAGACACAGCAAGCCCTCTAACACAGGCAAGTATTAAGCAGTGTCAGACAGTAGGACCTAGGCAAGGAGAGAAGAGCTCCATGTGCCCAAGTCCAAACAGAATCTGCTCAGACTGTTTTTATCTCTTAATTTTCAAAGGAAAAGTTCATTTCATTTGTCCTCATATAGGCCTGGAATCCCACATCTCCTCTGGGAACAGAATGAGAAACAAATCCCAAACCACAACCAGGAACAGAGGCTGATACACAGCTGGGCATTAAGTTTGATGAGATTCAGGATCAGACTGGTTGTACTACAATGTGCCTAGTAAACTTAGGCAGGATACTTTACCTGACTAGGCCTCCAAAAATGGAGGTGTCCAGTAGATTAATGGCTCTCATGTTGGCATCAACATTACTTAGACCCTAACAAAAATACATAGATTTCTAGGTACCATCACCAAAGATTCTGATATGGAGTGTTGGCTGTGGAACCTTTTTAACTAGTTCCATCTCTTTAACTAGTTGTCAGCCATTATCTGGGACCAGTGATGGGATACACTTTGAGGTTCTGTGATGTTCTCTATTTCAGATCAAGATAGTCTCTGGGCTTGACCTGTGACCTCTGGCTTAGACATGAAGAATGTCTTTTGTTTGAACGTTACTGCCTCCTAGACGTGGCCTTTGGGCATGCACCAGTCCTGCAGCAGCAGAGACTGTAAATGACCACAACACATCCACGGCTCTTCTATGTTCTCCGGTATAAATTACATTTGCCTGGGGGTCATGTGACTGTATTCTAACCAACTGAGTAAGCACTGAAATGATGCCCAGACTGATCCCTATAACAACGCACACTTCCAGTCTTCTCTTCCTCCAGCGTGATGAACTTGGGGGCAATGTGTTCCATAAAGCTCAACTTCAAGGTGCAAGCAATCCATATCCCCAAGTCTTTGGTCACTGCTTGGAAGAAAGCCATGTGGCCTTCCTTGAACCATGACATGGGAGAGAAATAAACACTTGTTGTGTTGAGCCACTGAAGTTTGCAACCTAGCCTAACCCTGATTAATAGAGTAATTGTTACCATGATCATGTGCTGACATGAAAAAACTGAAATGTGTGGCATTGACTAGACATTTATTAGTAGGTATTGGTGAAGCTGATATCTCAGGTTCAAAAGATGACAGTTTATGTTACAAAGCGTTAGAGCTGTCAGGTCCTATCCACTGCAATTGTAGCTCCAAGGGGAAAGTTTGAGAAACATACATTAGTGTGTTGACATTTTTTGTCTGCATTTGTTAAGGTATTGCAAGAAAGATATGAGCTCAGGAATTGGCTGGCCTGAAAGTAGAAATGAAAGATAATAAAATCCACAAATTTAGGACCTTGAAATGTTGGAAAAGCCATCTGTTTCTAGGTCTCAAACGTTAATAGAAAATGTTTAAGGATGAAATAAAAATTCAGTAATAAAGATTCAGGAAAAAACCTCTTCACTGAATGAAATGACATAGGGAAAAAATCAGATCAAAGTTGTAGCCTCACCACATCAAGCCTAATATTAGTAACCTCATTAAGAGGAGAGAGAGAGAGAGAGAGAGAGAGAGAGAGAAGAGAAAGCAGAAAAATAATTTGAGAAGTATGTCTCGAAAGAAGAAACTTGGCCTGTAGTTGCTGGTGTATGAAATTGACTGTGTGCAAAGAGATCAGAAGTCTACTAAGTTACCGACAGAACTATACTATATTGCCAATGAAACCACAAGTGAGCCTGGACAGTTCAAAATGAAAACAGCTTCCACAGTCTGGTGGGATTTCTGTCTCTGGCACTGGGGGAGCTCCGCGGGTCTCCACAGCTCCCTGTCCTCTGCTCCAGAAGGCCCAGGTGACTACGCCATGGCCTCTGTCGCCCTGTGTCCTGCAGGATTCCAAGATGGCGACGGGTCTGGAGCGGCCGTGCCAGGAGACAGCGCGATCCTGAGAAGTGTGCGCTGTGATACCAGAGTACGAATTGCATTTTCAAGAGCAACAAAAAACGAATAATTCTTTCAACAACGATCCTACTTCGACAAACAAGCAACAACAGGTTCAAGGTTTTTAGGGTCGACACAAAAGAAGACTCCTGAGAGCACCCAAGCCCTGCTGCGGGAACAAGCGAGCAGCCCAGACAACAAAGGCCAAGAAAGCCAGCAGAAACGGCACAGACACGGAGTGAAACGCGCCAGACCGGCCCAACTCTGCGAGCTCTGTGAGTCACCTCCAGCCCAGCCCCACTTGCGGGGCGAAGCCCGACTGCTCCCCACCCGCCTGGCTCCCGCCAACCACACCAGGCTAGGCGCCCACAACAGAGCTGCCTCCATTTTCTCGGGTGGGGGCGGAGACGGCCGGCTTAGTGAGGGCAGGCCAGCCATCTCTGCTTTGCGCGGCTCTGCACTGAGATGAGCCATTTGCTTATGTCGACGCAGGGCACCCCGGGGCCTGTGGACCGGCCTACAATCCCACTCTCCCCGCGGATCTCAGACGGGGCTGGTAGCATGGGGAGCCCCCGGCCAGCGTCGGGGGGGGCAGGGAAGAGGAGCCCATCCAGATCGTCTCTCCGCCACACCCTGGGCGTCGGCCCCAGATAAACTCCCTCTTTCCGGGAGGCAGATTCCATCTCTGGGGGCCTCAGTTTGGAAGAACCCCTAATTGATTTCTGGTGGGGAGAGGGGAGCCCGGAGACCTCTCAAGCTACATTGAAGTTTCTAGTGAGCT